GCACCGCGCGCTCTGAGCCTCAGCCGCCTGGCAGTGCTGCTCACCCTGCCCGTGGCGCTGCCAGTGGGGCAGCTGCTGGAGCTGGCGGCGCGGCCCGGGCGGCTGCGCGAGCGCGTGCTGGAGCTAGCGCGCGGAGGCGGCGACCCCTACAGCGACCTCAGCAAGGGAGTGCTGCGCTACCGGACAGTGGAGGACGTGCTTACGCCTCTCGAAGACTGCTTCATGCTGGATGCCAGTGCAGTTCTGGACTTCAGCGTCTTGGCCAGCATCATGCAGAGCGGCCACACGCGCATTCCGGTGTACGAGGAAGAGCGCTCCAACATCGTGGACATGCTCTACCTCAAGGACTTGGCCTTCGTGGACCCCGAGGACTGCACACCGCTCAGTACCATTACCCGCTTCTACAACCATCCACTCCACTTCGTCTTCAATGACACCAAGCTAGACGCAGTCCTGGAGGAGTTCAAGCGAGGTAAAGGCCTGGGAATCCTGGAGGAGGTGCACATGCGTGTCCTGTCCTAGAAAAGGGGTGGGGGATATGAGACCTCCCCTTTTCCAGAAGGTGATGGCCTTGAATCTGGCAGTGACTTTTTGAAAAATTTAGAGGTGGATGAAGTGTCCTAGAAATCCAACACCTTGGCACCCCCTTTGGTGAAACTTTCCATTTACTTCTAACACCCTGAGGCCACTTCTGTACACTTTGGGCTTTGTGTGACCCAAACTCTTGGATAGAAACTAAAAGGACGTGCAAAAGTAGGTATCTGGGTGCTAGTATCTGCACAGGTTTAATATCAAATTAGATAGACCATGATATTCCTTGGGCCTTGCTGAGGTCCCTGTTGCTGCCTCCCTGGTTGCAGGCAGGGAGTGACTCATAAATACTTTCTTGAAGGTGTGGAGAAAACTTTCACTTTGATTTCACCAAAACAACTTTATAGGTGCTGATTTAATCTCCCTTTCCCTTGTCTTCCTTTGTTTTGTTTTCCCTTTTAATCCCCCTCCCCTTTTCTAACCCTAAGTGTGTTTCTCAAGTTCTCCCTTAACCCCACATCTTCACCCCCTCCTTTCATCTGATTTGCTGCTCACAAGGTTGGAGGTGGAGATTGCGGGGCCCTCCAGGTGAGAAGGCAAGGGCTCCCTTTTAGTCCCCTCCACCATCCTCAGAGTGCTGCCCAGAGTGCGACAGACTCCTTGGCCACCAGCCATGCTTCCCACACCTGAGCTCCTGCAGGATAAGGGCAGGGGCAGCCCAGGGCTCTGGATGGACTTGACCCTAAAGGCTGCCTGATGGGAGGTGAAGTGAGTAAACCCCCCGCTATTTCTGGCAGCTGGGAAGTCTCCTGGCCCCAGGTCTGCATGGGAGCTGCTTGGTGAGCCTCTGGACGGTCAGGGCAGGAAGATGCCTTTCTCATAATGACTCCCTTGTGGAGCCAGGCTCCGATATGGCCTCTCCATGCCTTATCTCCTTTCTTTTTGCTTTTTCTTTGGTACCAGGGGCACTTAACCACTGAGCCACATCCCCAGCCCTTTTTTATATTTCACCTAGAGACAGAGTCTCACTAAATTGTTTAGGCCCTTGGTTAATTGCTGAGGCTGCTGACTTTGAACTTGTGATCCTCCTGCCTCAGCCTCCCAAGCCGCTGGGATCATAGGCGTGCACCACTGTGCCTGGCCCTCATGTCCTTTGATCCTTGCACCAGTCCTGCATGTAGCTCAGGGTTGGGTGAGAGGTTTGGATGGTCTGTTAAAGAGCATGGCAGTATTCCTGGCCATTTCCTTAGAAAGCCGCGCTGCCCACCTGTCTCTGGGAGGAACCCTGGGCAGACCCAGCTGGATCCTCCTGGTGGTGAGCATACTGTCTGGGCCTGCAAAGCCCTGAATCATGGTAGTGCCCAGCGAGGCAGCTCAAGAGGGGAGTGACAGTGGGTGGCCCTGAAGTGGGCCGGGTGGGTTCTATCCTGCCCCCGCCTGCTTTGAGCTGCACCCAGCCTCTCTTGCTCAAGGTCCTCAGCTGTCAGTGACGAGCATAAAGGGACCGGGGATGACATGTCCTGCATGCTGCTCGTGAGCTTGGTAGCAGAGCAGTGGTAGGTCCTGGGTGGGCTACGGGTAGATAGTGTTTGCTACTCGGGGAGAGGATTTAGCAGAGGGGGTGAACCCGGAAGTGCAGGTCCCACTTCCAGAAAGGCCCAGGGTAGAGACCATAGTTGTCCCTTTGATATTGTAAGCTCTTATGTTCGGTTCCTTCACCTCTGGTGTCTGGCTGCAGCCGGATTTGTGATTTCTCTGCTTGTGAGATGGTGGGGGAAGGCGTGCCCCTCTCTGGAACTAAAGGGAAGAGCTTCAGGAGCGAGACATAATGTTTAGGGTGAGGTCGGTGAAGACCTTCCTTTCCCAAAGCCTTGGGGTCACGATTTTCATTGCCGTGGCCTTGCCTTTCAAATTTGGCAGATAAGCTTGGCCCAGAGCCATGAGGCACCCTAGATGGGAAGAATTAAAATGTTCATGGAGGCAAGACGGGTTGGGAGAGGTGTGTGGGGGACCAGGGCTTGATCCCTAGGGCCGTAAGCAGAGAGGAGTTTGGAATGTTCTGGAAGCTAAGGGAAGGGACACTTTCCAAGGGAAGGAGAGTGGTCAGGAGAGGCACCTGGGATGGATGAAGTACCTTGGCAGGTGGCAATTGGGAGAACAAGTAGGATGCGACTCGTATTGTACACAGGCCTCCCAGCGTGGACCAAGGGGAGCCAGGGTCGCGACTGGCTGGGAGAGAGCTTCTGCTCTTAGTTTTTTTGTTTGTTTTTTTTTTGCAACTTTAGGATTATGCTTTTTATTACTGAATTGCCATGGCTATCAAGAGACTATATATTATATGAGCTTTTGAAATTACAAATGAGATTTTTTTAAAAAAACTTGCCCATTAAAGTTATAACTTTCTCAAGTTTCTTTTTTTTATTTATATATAACAGTGGAATGCATTACGACTCTTATTACACATATAGAGCACAATTTTTCGCATCTCTGGTTGTATACATAGTTATACATGTACTTTGGATAATAATGATCATCACATTCAACTGTCATTAATTACCCCCATGCCCCCTCCCTCCCCTCCCACCCTCTGCCCTATCTAGAGTTCCTCTATACCTCCCATGCTCCCCCTCTCTATCCCACTGCAGACTCCTTATATCAAAGAAAACATTCAGCATTTGGTTTTTTGGGATTGGCTAACTTCACTTAGCATTATCTTCTCTAACTCCATCCATTTACCTGCAAATGCCATGATTTTATCCTCTTTTATTGCTGAGTAATATTCCATTGTGTATATAAGCCACTTTTTTTTTTTTTTTATCCAGTCATTTATTGAAGGGCATCCAGGTTGGTTCCCTGCTCTTAGTTTTTAAGGTGGGGCAAGTGGAGCAGGTTCCAACGGACCTGCTGTCACAGTACAGGTGCTCCTGTCCAGGACGGCTGGTCGGAATACGTTGTCAGACTGCCTGGTCCCGGAGGGCTGGGGATTGATCCCTTCCTGGTTCATTCAGACTGTTCCAGAGCCATCTGACAACATGCTGGAAAGCCTCCTTCTAGAAGCCAGTGGTGGGGAGGAAGGACAGGGTGGGACCTGCAGTGGGGTCACTTTGGTCCTCCTTGGCTTCCTGGTTCCTGGTGGGTGAGGGCCATTCTTGGGGCAGAATGGCCCTGTCTTTCTGGTGCCGCCCTGGAGCTGCCTTGCCTTCTCTTTCTGTGGCCTTTTGGTGTCCTGTGTTTCTCTTTGTTAAAGTCCTCTCTGTCTTCGTCCTTCTATGATCCTCTGCTTATGAGCAAAGGGCACGTTGCAGTCTTCCTGGTATTGGAGGTTTTACAGTCGATCCTTTCCCCATCTCTCTGCCCACTGATCTTCCTCTTGGCCAGTACGTTCCGCTCCTGTCACTCCTTCAGAGCACCATCTGCTTGGGAACTTTGTAAGCTGGAGGGAAGCACCCCTCTGTGCGGACTTGAGGTGACAGCAATGATCCCCAGGCAGTGTGAGTGCTTTGGGGCTGAAGTAGGTGACTTGCGTCTTCTCTATGGCCATTAACCCCTGCTGCCTTTGCTCAGCCCGTGATGAGAGTCGTGAAGTAAGTGAGGAGAAGATTAGGGCAATGAACTTTTCAGAGATGCTGCTGTCAGACAGCCAGTTTTGATTTACTGTCATGTTTTGCCACAATGCTGAGAAGAGTCAGACCTGCTCAGACATCTGGGAGGAGTGTTAGCCTGTGACTTTTCTCATAACTTTGGTACACTTAGTTTTTCTACAGAACAAGGATGCCTATAATTACAAAGTCTAGGGAGGCCAAGGCAGGAGGATTGCATGTTGGAGGCCAGCCTGGGTAGGTGAGTGAGACCCCGTCTCAAAATGAAATCAAAAGGGCTAGGAGCATAGCTCCATGATAAAGCACTTGCCTAGCATGTGCAAACCCCACCCCGTATCCCCAGCTCTGCAAAATAAAAGGGAGTTGGGGACAGAGGAAAGATGGAGAGATGAAACTCTTAACTGCATTTTTAAAGGTGACCTAGAAGTTGGGCATCATGCAAAGGTCTTCCAGCATCCAGATAACTGGAGTACTCTGGAGCCTGTGGACTCAAATTAAAACTAGAGTTTCCCATGGCCGTAGGTCATGCCATTCACACCCTTAGGGACTCCGCAGAACTGGCCTGAGAGCCTGCAGGTATCCCTGTGAGTGCTTGGGTCCTGTCAGCTGGCCATGAACTTTAGTCGGCCAGCTGCCTTTTCTCAGTCCCCTGCTGCATTCTCAGGGCTGCCTGTTGGCCCTCGAGCATCCTCTGTTGAGAGCAAGTCACATGGGGATCTTCCCGGAGTCCTGCTTTCCTCCATTCCTTCTGGAGTCATCCCAGTGTGGCGGTCGTGGGGAGGCATGTGCCTCCTCTGCACGTGTGTGACAGCCTGGGAGAAGTGAGTTCCTTCCTGTAGGAACCCTGCAGAGGGTTCAGCTTCCTGAAAGGAGGAGTGGGCTCAGGCCTCTCTGCTCCAAGGTGGCCTTCAGACCTGGGCTTTGGTTTCAGGAATTCAAAGGTGTTGATCAAAACTGCCTGTCACGTGCCTGGTGCCCCCCGTGGGCCTGTGGCCTTGCCTTCTGTGGTGCAGCAGCCGTGGCCCTTGCAGAAATGGTGCCTGTGCGCCAGCCTGAGCCCTTCCCAGCACAGTCACAGAGTGTGGGAAGAATGTAGAAATACCTGTCCCCTGACTCAGTGCCTCAGGCCTGGCAGGACTGGGCAGAGATCTCCAGGGACCCTGAGCCTTTTCCTCCTAGAAAGGGGAAGGTGACCTCATGTGGTCATTTCCGTCTTGGCTCTTTGGTCAGGGGTTCTAGAGCACCCTGCAGGAGGACGCTTCATTTCATTAAGCCCTGGGTGTGTGGAGCGTGAGTCACACAAAGACTTTTCTGCTTGCCTGAGGATTCTTGGAGCAAACTCCCCCAGGTGTGCAGGTCTGTGCCCACACCAACCTCCGCCCTCTCACTTGTAACAGAAGAGGGCGCGCCCCAGGCTGTGGTCCTGCGGGTCCAGCGGCCAGTCCCCTCCCACCTGTGGCTGCGCAGTGCTGGGAAGGGCACTAGACTGACTTGGGGTGTGCTGTAGGCATCAAGTACAAACCAGGTTCAGGGACTCTGTGCAATCAGGGGAGGCTATCTATTGCTATTTTTTTTTTGTGTGTGTGTGTGTGTGTATGTGGGTGGGTTATATATTGAAATATCTTGGCTATATTGAATTACTTGAAATGTTATTAAACTTAATTCTGCCTATTTTTTTTTTCTTTTTCTTTGCAGCATTGGGGTTTGCACCTGAGGATGCTGCCCGCTGAGCTACATCTCCAGCCCTTTTTATGTTTTGAGTTTAGATTTTTTTTAATGTGCCCACTCAAAAGATCTTAAATTACCCACATGACTTGCCTTTCTGTTTCTCTCGGATAGGAATCAAGTTTTATGGCTGAAAAGCCTGCTGCAGAGTCAATTCCAGAAGTCCCCCAGTGTTCCCCGACATCCTGAGACATGAGTTGTTTTCAGTCTGCCCCTTCTCACTAAGCAAACCAAGTAGGAAAATGACATGGGAAAGACACAGGAGCCAGGTGGACCAGTCCTGGCCACCTGCTGTCCCCTGTGCCCAGGTTGGGTTCTGAATGGCCACCTCCCACTATTGACCCCCAGAGGACAGCCTTAAGAATTAGGAGGCCTTCCCAGAGTCAGGCAGAGTGGACTCGTGGGCTCCCCTACTGGGACCGTCCAGGGCAGCCAGCAGTCTTGGTGTGCTGTTTGTAGACACCTGCAGTTGTTGTGTGAGACCCCTGTGTTCTAGACAGGAGGTGCTTGGCTAGACCTCCGCATGGCTCGGAGTCACAGACCTGGGGCCAGTCCCAGCTCTGCTGTTGTCTGTGTGGGGACCTCCGGCCAATGAACACGCCTCTGGGATGTTGCCCAGCTTGTTGAGAACTTGGGAAGCCTCCATGCGTGCCTGTTCTCAGCTATTTGGGAGGGTGAGGCAGGAGGATCACAAGTTCAAGACCAATCTGGGCAACTTAGTGAGGCCTGCCACAAAGTAAAAAGTATAAAGGGCTCGGGGAGTTGAGCGTGATGGTGCACGCCTGTAATCCCTTGGCTCCAGAGGCTGAGGTAGAAAGAGTGCAAGTTCACAGGCAACTTCAGCAAAAGTGAGGTGCTAAGCAACTCCGTGAGCCCCTGTCTCCAAATAAAATACAAAATAGGGCTGGGGGTGTGGTTGAGTGCCTCTGAGTTCAATCCCCAGTACCAAAAAAAAGGGGGGGGCTGGGGATGTAGCTCAGTGGGAAAGGACCTCTGGGTTCAGTCCTTAATATCAAAAACAAAACACAAAACTTAGGGTGTGTGGCCCAGTGTCCAGCACAAACATTGGCTTCTGTCCTTGCAGTGGGCTCATACCAGGAGAAACTGAGAAAAATGGGGTGCCCCTGCTAGCTGTAAACGAGTGTCCCTCCCCACAGGGAAGTCCCACCTGGCCATCGTGCAGAAGGTGAACAACGAGGGCGAGGGCGACCCCTTCTATGAGGTGCTGGGCCTGGTCACCGTGGAGGACGTCATCGAGGAGGTCATCAGGTCCGAGATCCTGGACGAGTCTGCAGACTACCGTGAGTGTGACTTCCCCTGTCCTCCCGGCCCTGAGACACACCGTGTGCACACTGGGAGCCTCTGTTCCGGAGCCGCTGCATCCCCGCCAGGCCCCCTCCCTGCCCCCGTGGCTCAGTAAGGCCGCCACGGCAGGGCTCCCTCCTGCCCGGGCTGTCGGTGCTCTCACGGCTCCTGTGCATGCCGGGCTCTGACCCTCCTGGGCTCTGTCCCTCCTGGGCTCTGTCCCTCCTGGGCTCTGTCCCTCCTGGGCTCTGTCCCTCCTGGACTCTGTCCTTCCTGGGCTCTGTCCTTCTTGGGCTCTGTCCTTCCTGGGCCCTGTCCTTCCTGGACTCTCTGTCCTTCCTGGGCTCTGTCCTTCCTGGGCCCTGTCCTTCCTGGGCCCTGTCCTTCCTGGGCCCTGTCCTTCCTGG